GGCCCCCTCCAGCCGCTCCTCCCCAGGCCTGCAGCACTGCCAGGGGCTGGTGTGACCCGAGGGCAGGACCCGGCACTCGGCCTCCTTGAGCCTCACACAACTGGCCTCAGCCCATGGATCCAGCCTGGCCAGGTCCCTCTGCAGAGCCTCCTGCCCTCCAGCACATCAGCACCCAGCTCAGTTTGGCATCATCTGCAAACTTAATGAGGGAGCACTGAATCTCCTCACCCAGTCCATAGATAAAGATGTAAAATAGGACCGGCCCCAACACTGAGCCTTGAGGACACCACTGGTGACCAGCCACCATCTGGATTTAACTCCATTGACCACCACTCCCTGGGCTCGGCCACCCAGCCAGTTTTTAACCCAGCAAAGAGTACACCTGTCTAAGCCATGAGCTCTAGCAGAATGCTGTCGGAGATGGTGTCAAAGGGTTCACCGAAGTCCAGTTGGACAACATCCACAGCCTTTCCCACATCCACTAAGTGGCTCAGTTGGTCAAAGAAGGAGATCAGGTTGGTCAAGCAGGACCTGTCTTTCATGAACACCTACCGGCTGAGCCTGATCCCCTGGTTTTTCTGCACAGGCTATGTGAGTGCACTTAAGATGAACTGGTCCATAATCTTTCCCAGGACTGAGGTCGGGCTGACAGGCCTGTAGTTTCCTGAATCCACCTTCCAACCCTTCTGGTAGAAGGCATCACAGTGGCACGCCTCCAGCCATCTGGGACCTCCCCTGTTAATCCGGACTGCTGGTAGATGATGGAGAGCAGCTTGGCAAGCTCCTCTGCCAGCTCCCCCAGAACTCCTGGGTGGATCCTGTACAGCCCCATAGACTTACGAGTGTCCAGGTGCTGTAGCAGGTTGTTAACTGCTTCCTCCTGGATTATGGTGAGTACATTCTTCAGCTCCAGGGGTTGAACACCCTGAGGATAGCTGGTCTGACTATTAAAGACTGAGGCAAAAAAGCACTAAGTACCTTTGCCTTTTCTTCATCTTCGGTGTTAATTTTCACCCCCACATAAAATAAAGGATGGAGATTCTCGTTGGCTCTCTTTCTCTTGTTAATATATTTGTAAAAATGTGGTTTTTTTATCATTTACAACAGTGGCCAGACCGAGTTGTACCTGGGCTTTTGCTTTTCTTATATTGTCTCTGCATGACCTAACTAGATCCCTGTCCTCTTCTTGAGTTGCCTGCCCAAAGGTGGTAAATTCTTCTTTTTTCCCCAAGTTGCAGGCAAACTGTTCAAGCACGCTGGTTGTCTCCCTTGCCAGTTTGTCTTATAACTCATGTGGACAGCCTGCTCCTGCACCTCTAAGACTTCCTTCTGTTCAGCAAAAGAAATGAACATAGCATTTTGCTCATTAATAGCACCATTGGACAATGACAAAGGCATTTTAGTGTTCCCATTTTAAAAACATTTTTCTCTTTCCTTCCTTATTGTGTCAATAGAAAGAAATCTGATTTAAAAAAAAAGTTTATGAACGTGACAGCCTGAGAGCTCATTTGTCATACTGGGACCTCATTTATATATCAAGTAACTATTTATGTAGTATGGCTCATGGAGATACAAAATCTTCAGCTACGGAGAAATACAGGAAGCTGGTAGACATTTTTTAAGTGTTTCCCATTTTAACTTTCAAACAACACAAGTTACCATATTAATTACAGTAAATTCACAGCTACTAAGTATAATGCTTTTTAAGTACTAAGAGGTAACAATTCACTATTATTTAAGGATTTTAGTATTATAGTCAGAAAACGGAAAATTTTGAAAGTACACGACTGTTTCTTTCTACAGTGAGATAACCTTTAGCTAAAGTCCATCTCTCTAGCAAAACCAGGTAAGAAGTTGTGTATACTTTCTCTTTACTGCTATTGCAGTGAATAAGTTAAAAAGCTCTAAATCATATTAAGGCATTTTTGCTTCTTTTCTTCTAACAATAACAGGTAAAGTTCTCTTAATCAGCAAGATTTAAGAATTTCTTTGTAATAAAGGAGACAGTACTGAGAGCACTGGAAAAACAAACAAAATTCAATAATATTCCAGTGATGCTCTATACCTCTCAGCAACTTTTAGTAGAGCTTTGGAAAACATAAATATTTTTAAATGTTTCTGCAATAGCTAATTTCGCTATGAAAGTATCTATGCCTAACTTCATAATAAAATTCCATATGTGCAACATGCCCTCTTTGTGAGAATCCTTACCTCTGGACCACATTCATTCAGCTGGTTTTTCTGTGCAAGCCTGTGGTTAAGAGCCTGCAAAACAGATTAAGTCAGCCTGCATGCTGCATACCAATAAACACAATAAATACTGCATAAAACATCTCAAAGGGCAACTTTTGTCAAACATGGTTCAAGAAAAACATGCAGCATAGCAATCTATTTATACCTACCTTTCTAGTAATTGGACAACAAAGTTACGAAATAGCAGATTAGTGACCTAAAAGGAAAATTTTCTTCCCATTTTTCCAGTTATTACCTACTTCTTTTCTATGTGGATGCTATGGAAGGACAGTTTTACCAGATTTCGTCCACTTGAACACAAGAAAAAAATATTGGTTTCAGTATTATTCTGGAGAAACAAAAACTTTGGATTCCTCTTACAAGTCATCTATAATGTGAAGATATGGCAGTAGGTTCAAAAATTTATTACTATTATTGCTCTATTTAGTTATAGCCTACTGTTAACATCTTACTAATCCATGTTACTGAGAAAGTCTTTCAGGATAGATGTTTTTACAATTACCTCACCTGCACATAATTACGTAATAGTCTGAGGGAAAGATAATATGGTAAGTGCACTTGTTGCATGGAGTATACATAAAAAGTCAACAACGTGTTTATTTTTTTATAAGATTTAAGTGAGGCAAGTCTTCTATTTCTTAATCTTGTCTTTAAACATTGTGTACACTGAGGACTTAAAAATCCAGTTCTTTTGCTACTAAGAAATTAATATACGTAGAGCACCTGATTTTGCAGTTAAAAAATATGCTTACTCAAAGTACTTGGATTTTTTTCTAGATGTGAAATAATGTTTTTAATTACTCATATAGCATATTTATCAAGATTAGATGTGTGATAACATTAAAACAAAGGAGTGCGTTTAGCTCTATTTTTCACTGCTAAGGAAAAACGTTCATATGAATCAACAATTTACTTGCTCTAGGATAAGGTTAGTTTTAAAAATGTATTAGTGCAATTCAGCTAGATAACAGGGAAGTCGCAGAAAGACTGTAATCCAATGACATTTTGTTGAATAATATTAGCTACTACTTATCTCATGTATTACACATCAAGATTTCAAGCAGTCTACTGCGTCTTCCACATAGCTATGCTTACCAATTACCAGTGCTAAATTATATTTTAGGTAATGGTAGGTGCAGTAAATATGGGATTATCAAACATTGCAGGTTAGAAGGCACTATTACTGAAGATGTTAAAACATCTTCTTTATTACCTCAATACTATAATGAAAGACGAATTGAATAATATACATCTTATATTTTATGCTAGGAAAGCACTACCTGATTGTCACTTACCATAGTAAAATACATGTGTTTTATAACAGCATTTTTCATTTCAGCAAGCTGCATATTACACATTATTTTTTGTACAGCCAGGAAATGGTTCATTTGGATATCTTCAGTATGATGTATTTCATTCTGTGCACAGAAAAAAAAATATCATTTTTTTAAAGTTTCAAAGCTAATGCTCCAAACCAGCTTTTACGTGCTAAGTCTTTCTCCATGCTCTACTGCAAACACTTGTGTGCATACACATGCACATGTAATTGTTCAAGGGTCCTTAAACATTATCTGATAGATAAACTGCTTGTGGTTTGGAAATAAGCCACTGATGTTTTAGGAAGCTATAGCACAGGAATTATCAATGCAAGTTTCCCCATAGTTGTTTGTCCTAACTCATGTTAACTCTGACCAAATCCCTGTGGCTGAACCAAGAGCTGTGTTTCCACAATGCATTCTCTCTCTGGACTTTTTGAAAACCAAATCCAAAGCCCACACCTTTACAATTAGCTAAAAACACAGATTTTTTTAAGACATTTTTCATCAATTTGACTATAGCTATGCATTCATTTTACAAAGCCCATTTCATAGTTTGAACACACCCTACTGGGAGCTGCTCGCTCACCCCCATGCCTGTCCCTTTAGGGATGGAGAGGAAGAAAATTCAACAAAAACACTCCAGGACTGAGATCAGGGAGGGTCTCACTCACCATTTATGGTCACAAGCAAAGAAACACAGCAGACTTGGGGAGAAGACAAACCTATATTTAATGTACCACTACCTGTTTAACAAAAAAACAAGAGTCCTCAACACAAAAGACAGGTAGCTCACCCTCTTGATTTTATTCATTCCCAGAGGCACTGATTGGCCTGGACTTAACAAGGGGTGAGTCTGGACAATTTCTGTGGCTTGAGAACGCTCTGAAAGTTTCTCCCAAGGACTCACTTCACAGGGCCCCCACACCCCCAACACCAAAAACCCAGCCAGACACACAAACCCACCACTAAAATGAAATCTTTCCAGTTCTTGCCTATAAGCCCGAACTAAACTAGTAATCTAAAAGTTTTTTTGGTTTATTGTTAGTAATTTATCTCCTATGTCCACCTATTATTTCTAGATATTTCTTCAGCATGGGGAATGAGGAAGTATTTCTCACACTGGTTTCCAACTCATTCTGAAAGGACTCTCAGCAAAGCCGCAAGATAACTTTTGTTAGCAAAAGATAACTACAAAACATATTTAGGAGTTATTTCAGGATACAAGAATGACACACTTCACTAAGAGTTTTGATGTATGCTTTTTGTCAAAGACACATAGACTAAGAATAAAACACCATCTTTGTTTTAGGCAAATACAAAACCAGCTTTCTCCTGTAGTGTGATGGGTTAAGAACGTGGTCACATGCGAAGCGTTATCCCTCGTCACAATCCTGGCCACCACTTCTGCTGGGAGCAGGTGTGGAAGGCTTGGGCTAGCTTGCCTTCTAATTTAAACACCTAAATCTGACAGGTGAATCAAGTATGGGGAACACAGAAAATAACAGCAGGCCAAAAACCACAGCAGTGCATGCAATGACAGGATACAAGCTATAAACATTTTATACTTTTAAGTTTTCAAGATAAAGTTTCAAGCACTGCCTATGTTTCGTCCTGCTTTCAGATTTTTCCTTAAATGTATAATTCAAACAGAAAGTATTTGGCATGTGCATAACATTTCTAAACAAAATACTGACTTTGTTGCACACTATGGAAGGGAGATAAGTATTTTTGGTAACTTGAAAAGAACTCTAAATAGCTTTTGACGAGCCAGGGAAAACTGAACTCTAATGCATTAACTAGTCTTTACTTCTTTTGGCGTTTTCTGCACATTGTTTTCAGCACGCTTATAAAAATACTTATATTCAAACAATTTACAGTACCATCTTGGCAAAATCTTAAGAAATCCAGCATGCATCCAATAAAGCACTTTATATCTACTTCAATGTGAGACTAGCTCCCTAAAATCCTGTATGTGGTTTAATATCACCGACCAATAAATTTTGATGCCTTGTAGGATCAAATCATTAACGACAATGGTACAGAGTATTTTAACACTATAGTTATGAGGTTCAGATACTGAAATAGAAAGATGAAGCAAAGACTTGGTTTAAAAAAATCCAACAATAACACAGAAAGAACAGCCTGGACACAAGTGCAGTTCCACTAAAAAAAAATAAAATATAATACTGTTTTGTTGAATTTGGCATCTGGACATATAAAAGGGTGTTTAGGGGAGAAAGGAGGGTATTTATTTTTGCTAAAAGTAGCACTCAAATAGCAGGACTACAAATTTACAAAGCTGGAATGTTCTAATGAATTATGTGCCAAGTACTTCAGGGAGGGAGAGAAAAGAACATGTCCATAACATTCTTTGATAAAACCTAATACATTTGGACAAGTGCTGTGATTTGATTGCCTATGTTTTATTCTTTTCCTTTTAAGAGACTAGGAATCTTGGCAGTTTTCTGAGTTCCTTAGATGCATTTAAATAGAAAGTTAATGCTCTCTTGGCCTCTGAGGTGAGTTACTTTAATGAAATCTGAGGAAAAAAAGATACACGCAAGTTAATGGACTGGTTAAGATGGAAACTCTTTATCACACCTGGAAGGAATTCAGGGTGCATAGCAAGAAACACTTTATTCTCATAGAGATCAATAAAAGGTGAAGTAGCCATAAAAACTTGACATTCCTCTATTAAATATAAATGTCTATCTTAGCTGAAAGGTGTAATAGAGAACAGTTTCCCTGAAGAAGTTTTATTAAGAGAGTAAGCACTAGACTGAGATCCCATGTTGGTGTGTGTTTTTTTCAGGGCGTAAACATTAAGGCCTTTCAACCCTCTTGTAACAGCTTTACTGCTCCTTAAAACAGGAAAAGCAAAGTATGTGCTGTGACCTGAAGAATCCAAAGGATTTTCAAATGAAGCACGGCAATTCCTAGTAACAACACAGCTTCAGCTCCTACTTGCTTTCAAAAGTGGTATTTTCAATTAGCACTTGACTAAAAGCATCACACAGTCTAGGAACTAACAGACTAAAAGAACCTTCCGAGGCTTATTAGTAGTTTTAAGTCAAAAAGCTAAGAAGGTCTGAATAGTGCATCTGGGAAGCAAACAGCTATGAATCATGAGGCACCTCTCTCTCACGGGAAATAGTAAAGAAAAATTCTAATCGTAGTAAATTTCGCACATACAACACAATTCAATGAACAGTGACTTTGTCTCATAGTTCAGATGGAAAGATAAAAGAGAAACTAGCCGCTTTTCTTTTGCATCACTGTAAATTTAACTCCTGATCCAATTTGGGAGCTAATTGGTAAACCTCAACCATTGAATGCTTCACTGCATGCTTCACCCGCCTGAGCCACTCCAATTAAAAATTCTGTTTCTCTGGAATGACGACTTCTCTTGCGGTTTCACTCTCCAGATAAGGTCCACTGAGGTGCTTGTATTTTAGTGGATCTGATGATGTATGGTCTCCTGTTCTAGTTCGGCCAACAGAAGAAAGCTATTACAAGGACCCTGGAGAACGAATTATCTTCTACCAGCCAAGAAATACAAACCTTGCATTCTCAAGAATTTAACACTTTTGACTAGTAGAAGAGGTTTTGTCACGAATGGTGACAGATTTTGTGCCACAGGAAATGACAAAGTTGAATCTAGTCTTTGCACATGTGAGCGTCAAGTGTTTTGAGTTGTATGGAGTCATTAACATTTTCTGAAATGCAATTAGATCCCTTCTGTTTGCACGGATGAGAGTTCTGCAACTCTCCCGACATGGAGAAACGTTACAGTATATAAACTATTGGCATGAGACATTCTTGCCAACACCTTTTGGCTATTCCCAGAGTTCCTGGTTGCTTACAGAATGAGAATGCTTTAAATTAATTTTATTTAATTTTGTCTACAAGTACAGCATGATCTTTCTACACTAACAGTTAAAAGGGACACTTGGATAGCAGTTTATACAACTACTTTAGGAAATTATAACACTTGGAGCATCAAGCTCAGTGCATTGACTGAAAAGGGAATATAGGTGTGTATAGATTACTAGCAGAGAAATAGTCTAAGTGAATTTTCTCTGCCAAGTATACCATTCCCTTACAAAATCCACACTGTAACCACCAGTTCTCCCCAGCCATGAAGGACAACCAGTAAACTGATTTTAAGAATCCAAATATTATTAAAACAATCTACAGTCTATTTTAGCATAGTCTACCTACATAAGATTATGACAAAAAAGGTAGAATAATTGAGGTCAGTTGAAAAAAAAAGTTATTACATTTATTTTGAAGCATGAAGATATTATTAAAATACTACCTAACCCAGTAAAATACATACATAGGCAGACAGACACATTCACACATTTGAAATCCTTATCAAATTTAAGACTTTTTTTTCTTCTAATTTTTTTGGTCAGTTTTCTGAATAGCTGATGGTCACATACACTGGAAGTCTAATCAATTTTTCCTGAAGTCTAATTATTTTTTTCCAGTACTAGTGGCACAAAGCAAGAGCTAAGGAAGGACATGAAGAGGAGGAAGAAATAATGTATGCTTACTTGGTGTTACTTCCTCTGGCCTAAAACAAAACACTGCTCTTGGAAAGACAATTACAGAACCACATAATGGTTTAAGTTGAAAACCATCTCTGAAGATCATGAGGTACAAACCCTCTGCCCAAGGAGGGCCAACTAAAGCCTACTGCCCAGGACCACACCCAGACAGCTTCTGAGTATGGCCAAGGATGGAGACTCCAGTCTCTCTGGACAACTTGCTCCACTGCTCCATCACGCTCACAGTAAAAAAAGCCAAGTGTCTCCTGAATTTCAGACAGAACCTTCTGTGTGCTTCAGGTCATGGCCACTGCCTCTTATCTTGTCAAGGGGCACCACAGACAAAAACCTGGCTGTCTTTTGCACTCTCCCTTCAGGTATTTGTACATATTCACAGGCCACAAAGATGGTCAGAGGCTGGAGCACCTCTCTGACAAAGACAGGCTGGGAGAGTTGGGGCTGTTCAGCCTGGAGAAGAGAAGGATCCTAAAGAGGAGACCTCAGAGAGCAGCCTCCCTGTGCCTGAAGGGGCTGCAGGAGAGATGGGGAGGGACTCCTCACCGGGGAGTGTGGTGGTAGGACCAAGGGTGATGGTTGCAGACTGAAAGAGGGGAGATTTAAATTAGGTATCAGGAAGAAGTTCTTCACCATGAGGGTGTTGAGACCCTGGCACAGGTTGCCCAGAGAGGTGGGGGAGGACCCATCATCCCTGGAGACATTCAAGGTCAGGCTGGATGGAGCTCTGAGCAACCTGATCCAGTTAAAGATGTCCCTGCTCACTGCAGGGGGTTGGGCTAGATGACGTTTAAAGGTCCCTTCCAACTCAAACCATTCTATGATTCTTGTCCCAGAACCAGAAAGTTCTGTTAACTTTAGTCAAATGACAAAAACTAATCATAATCCTCTTTACTATTAATGCTGCATTATCTACAGTAATCAGTAAACTATACATAAATTCCAAACTATGAAAAACTAATTTTAGATATGTTTTTTAATTTACTTACCTCAAGAAGGTAATCTCCTAGATACTGTAATGGATAGTATCGAGCTTCAGAGAGACCTTTTTTGTTTTGCACAGGAAAAATACGATTATTGATGAATATATGGGTTACATCACGCTCTGCACTTTGAGGTGAACTTATGGTTGCCTTTCCAGCTTGGAGAACTCTAAATAAACATATGTGGAAAGATGCATTGTATTAGTAATGCCTAAAGGTACATTACCGTTCACAAATTACAAGCATGCAAGTGCGAGAGAGTAAGGGTTCTAGATGTATGGCACTGTTCAACCTGAGTTAGGACGACAAAAGGGTACTTAACAGCCTTCAGAAAAATAAAGGACCCACTTAACTAGACATACTTCTCCCCACAGTTTAACACTATTAATTAAAATCAATGTACCCCTCCTACATATCTGATAGCTTGACCTGTGCACTTTTGCAAAGATACAATTTGGTGACAGGAGCTATAATTTATTGTATTATGTTCCCCACAATGATGATGGTCTTATCAATTAAGTTTTGCAGTAGATTAGGTGCCTTACCAAAAATGGTGCACTGGTTTTCTGAACTGTAACATGGTATTTTCATAATGCAAATACACTTTTTTACCTCATTTTGATATTTTGTCCACTATCAGACAGAGAAAACAGATTTGTCTTGGGGACACTCTTACAGTAAGAGTTTCCCCAAAGGCAATCGCTGGAGTTGTACTGCTGTAACTATTTGTATCTTTCAAAAAAGATGCCAGACAAAAAATGGTGGAAGAAATAAGGTCTCTTGACATGCTGGGTATCTGTCTATTTTTCATGATCCAGCTATGTAAAAGGAAAACTATGCTGGTCTCACACACTTAGCCATCCAAAAGCTAGGCAGCAAAGGCAGGAAAAGCATAGAAAAGCAGAAAAAAGGCACAGTGTTGTAAGTATTAGAGAAAAATCAGCCTTTTCCCAAAGCTACAGCGGCCTTTATGACTCAAAACAGCACTCACTGGGGGCAAAAAATAGTTACCTTTCGCTTTTTTCTGACTAAGTAAAAGGAATACCATGTTGGTGTATGGGAAATAGTCTGAAGGAAAAGCTTCCTTCCACAGAACAGTCTGCTCACCTGTCTTGCTGATTTAGAAATAACCTGTTAAAGGTTATTTCTACTGTGAATAGAGTTGTGCAAGCTATTACTTCCACAGTGTTATCATGAAGATCTGCATGAGCAGTTTTTATGGAAAAGGAAATGGCATTTTCCACAAGTGTAGCAGGATGAGTGCATCTTTCTGCAAGACAGCACCTAGTAAACTCTTCCACTCAGCCAAGAAAATAGCATACTTACTAGGTCTTCAGCTGGCAAAATCAGGTGGCTGCTTCAGCTGCACCTCACTTTGTCTTTATGAATTGCAGATAGGCATTCCGCCACACAGCTTGCAGCGCTGTGCCACCATCTACCAGAAAAACTGCACTTGCCTTCTTGCTTCTGCATCTGTGACCTGCCCAGACTCGAGTGCTCTGAACTAAGTGGGATTTCAACAGGAGAAACGTAGCACGTTATCTGCTCCTCTAATAAATGTAAAGCTCTAAAACAGCATCAGGGGATGTTTGCTTTCACTGTACCAGAAGCAAACACAGCACTTAACGTACTCTGTTTGTGATTAAGCATAGTATTTATACGACAAAGTACAAATGTGTAAGGAGAGTATGGGAGAGAAAAAAAAAAATACAGTCCCAGAATTCCTGCACTTCAATTGTATTCCTTCTCTCTGCTTTTCCCTGATACTTTTGTGCTTTCCCTTCTTAACTACCTGTATTTACATCATATCAGAAACATGTTAGTACCGACTAGGTCTTGAGAACTACAAGAAGCTGACAAAAATGTGCGATCAGGACAGTCACAGCGTGGCTCAGATCTGCAAGACACAGTTCACAGCTGGATTAGGTCACACACTCAAGTGAAATAATGTATCCTGTTCCAGATACTATTTTAATGTAACATCCACACAAAGTAAATGATTACTGACAGAAAGCACAAGCCTATGTATCTTGTCTCATGAAGACAGTTTTCCGTAAACAGTTTACTTAAGACATAAACATTTGCAAATGCATGCTATTTTTGACATTACACCAAAAGAAAGCAGGAAAAGTAGCGATGCTGAAGACTGAAAATCATTTTATTATGAAAAGTATGGAAGTTTATTAATGAAAACAATTTAGATTTTGAAGACGTGGAGGTTGTTATGGTTGTTAACTGGGATGGAAGAACAAAAATGTGTTCAACCATACATTGGTTCATTATCTAAGCTTTAAGACATATCCTCCTACCTTCTAAAAGAAGCCATTCGTTTGTCATCTTCCTTAACAGAGAGGACAACTTTCCATCTGTGGAAGGCCCCTGGAGCACTAGAGCGTGTCAGTTCTTCACGCCATCTTTTAGGTGCAGATTGCATTTGAGGTGAATAATGGGTGTCTTTTTCAATTTCATATCCCCATTCGTACGTTGTTTCATCGAGCCATCTGCCACTTTCGGCACTATTAATTATGTACTCCTTAGTTAGTATCCACTTTCCTAAAAAGCAAATGAACTGTCAACTACACAAGATTTTTTTGTGCAGACAAACAGCAATCAACTGAAGCTCTAATATAAAATTAACTTCAACCTTTCTTGTGCAAACAAAAGCTAGAATTTTAAGCACCATTTTAAAAACTTCTTCCTACCACAAGAGTTCTCCTCATCACTTTAGAATCAGAGATCTCACAATGCCACTGAAAATGATCATTTTGGTTTTTTTTTAATGATGAAGTACCTTTTTGCCCTTCCCAGATAAAATACTTGTCTATCTCCTCAAAAATCTGCAAATGCTTCTTAGATTTTGTCCTTGCGACTTTCACAGAACGCTGCTTAACCCCTTCTTTCTACCACCCCTTTTTACGTCTAAAAATGTACTAGAAGGCAGCAAGTTGAAGAAATGTTTTGCCACCAATGATTAAAAAGAGGAATGAAGGTTTTAGCATGTATGCTGCTTCTTTTATATTCTTAATATTACTTGTACTGTGAGTGTAGAGAGTACCAATATTAGGGGGATACAGTTTTAGACTTTTGTCTTCCCCTTTTATTCTTTTCACATCCTTTTCTCTCATCCGTTGGCTCCACCTTCTCCACCTCTCCTCTTTCATCTTCTGCATGTATGCTTTTGATACTGTATGTAATGATCTTCCCCCTTTTTTTCCTGTCTCTCTCTTCTTACAGGTTCAGGTCAAGAGCCGTGGTTAGTACCCTGTTCCTATATTGAAACACTACCTACAGAAGACACTGTAAGAGAAACTGACTCGAATTGTGTGAACCTAATTGGTTTCACAGAACAGCAGGGTTGACTGGCAAAACGTCTCAGTGCAGGAGCATAGATGGTACTTCTACATAACCTAGCACAGGTACCAGTAGACTTATGACTGGAAAAGGTATGCTGTGCACAACCTGTATGCTAAAATCACTTTCATTTCGAAGTTTCCAGCTCAACACTTCTGTCAGCTAGAAGTCCGTGAAGACTAGTATCCTCCAAGGAGTTCTAAAGCCGTTAAAACATGATCTTTTACACTGGCTTGGGCAAAATTGCAGTAGGAATGAACAGGGTCCCTCTTCCATCAAGGGTAAGAGCAATGATTATGCAAAAATAGAACCTCTTCTGTGATTAAAATGTGCTACATGGTATTGGGGAAGATTTGCAAGTATAGAAACATGACAGGATCTTGCATGGCCATGTGGACACTATATACATCGTTTCCACCCACTTCAAGAAAACATCTCCAGAGGTTTTAACTACTAAAAAGTAAGAGAAAATTAACTCAAAGGTATATAGAGAGTTAGATAAAGCGCTCTCCTACAAATCCAGATGCATCGATTCCCTCATGGAAATTTCTGTCTTATTTATTTTTTTGAGTAGAGTGTCATCAAGATTTTACATTAGTACAAGGAATCATCTGTTTGTATATATCATTCTAGCACTGACAGATGACTGAAAATGCCACCTAATACGGTACGCAAGGTACAAACACACACAAAAAATTACATCTATCTTTAAATGCAAATCTACATTTAATTATTGCTGTCTGTTATCTCTCAAATTTAACACTACCCATCCTAAAAATTGCATTAACACTTTAGTGTAATATGATAAATAAAGATCATATTTAATCAGTAAATAAGTTGCTATTGTGAAATCTCGCAACTCCATCAGATTTTCTAAACTCATTATAAAATCCTTCCACTCAATCTGCCTATTAAAAAAATTAAAAATCTTTAAATACAGAATTCTCTTACAAAAAGCTTATGTACGGGATTTCATCATCAGGCCTTACATAAAAGAAAAAGAGGAAAGGCTAGAGGCTTGTGTCAGAATGGCAAAGGATGGGGATTTTCTCTTCTTTTACAAAGAGGAAGTTACAGACAGTGAATACTGCATGTGCATTCGTCCATGCGGGCTACGCCATGCTCTCTCTGACCATGATCTAACTAATAGTTAATGAAGCTTTCTGTTTGGGAAAACACATGCAGATCGAATGAAGGAAGATAGCAGGAACATCATTTAGGAAAAATTCAAACCTAAAAGAAATAAATCGGAATCTGGACATAGTACTCTGTTAAAAAATCAAGGTTAATGGAACAAGAGGGAGTTTGTAGGACAGCTCATTCATGAAATCAAAATGGGTAACCTGATACCTCTTAAGGGTCCTTTCCAGTTCTGTGTTATGATCTCATGAAATTTTACAGCAGATTTTTTACTCACCTGCAGCACATGCAGCTAAGAACTTTTCACTCTTGCACGGCTTTTTTGCTATAAGGTGCGTACAATTTCTGTATTTCTAACAGAACAAAAAAAAACAAAACACAACACACTTGTATCACTGGAAACAGTTTAACTTCCTTGGATATTTATACAGAATCGTAAAGTCCTTTCTTTTAAGGGTTGCATTTTTTGTCTTTACACTCTAACCGCCAGGTGCTTTAGGGAACAATACCTTACTATCTAAAATAACACAGTCCAGTCTGAGCAGCCGTTTGAGCAGCGCCTCTTTCTCTCGTTTTTTAAATCCAGTTAATTGGATTACCAGTTTCTGGCCGCCGCTTGCCATCTATTGAAAGAGAATAAAAAAATAAATAATAATTAAAAAAAGACCCCAGAGAACCAAGAGGGAAAAGGAAACATTAAGGTGCAAAAACATCACGAAGCCTTGCTTGCCTGGTGTCACCAGCACTTCCTACTTGTTTCCCGAGAAATACGGGAAAAGGCACCGCGGGGACCCAACACCACCCGGGGTGGAAAGGCAGCTACAAACAGTTTGAAGCCCCTCACTG